GTTCATGCAAAAGTTGATCTCTCTGGACGCAGCACTCGAAGATGTAGAGGAGCCTGAAGGTGAGCACACACCCTTTCTCAAATCCTCAAACTGGTCTTTCTTTAGGCTGACCTCTGTGGCTACAGATCTCACTTGGGCGTTCGTTCTGGTGCCAAAGGAAGGCCGAGTGCCCGAAACAGATGACAAGAGCGGTAATGTGAGTTCTTCTCGGTGGAGGCCAGCCAGCACGTGCCCTCTGAACTGATGACCCCCTTATCTGGGGCAGGAGCCCAGAGAAGGACCTTGGGTCCCCTTTGACGATGGACCCCTACAGCTTTCAAATCCCACGGCATCGTCTGTCTCAGATTCTCAATCCGTGGATGACCGCCAGCAATCCCACGCAAGCTCACCCATACACGCAAGACCGGCAGGAAGGAGAAGTGACAACGCAAACGACGCCTCTGTCAGTGAGCAAGATCAGCCAAGCATATTGCCAGTCAAGAGCCTCGATACTGGCGTTATCAATGTGAGTTCCCAAACCCCTCTCGATGTAGGATTGAACGTTGCTGACTCTATCGCAAATACCCCAAAGCTAATGCTCTACGTTGAAGAGCACCCTTTAGCAAAGCGGCAGAGCTCACTGGTCTTCTCGCAGAGCACCCCTATCTCATCCAGAAGGAGAGGGCAGGAAGGTCACGGCTCGAGATCTGGAGCCGACAAAGGCTTGCTCAGTGGCGCATCTCAATTGCCCGCAGAGGTGCGGGATCTCGATGCCCCGGTACCGCATCCCGAGAAAGCTTCGAAGGGAGGCAGACATGGCTCGCGCAAAGCAGGCGCTGCGGATATAAAGGAGCGAAATGGGAAAGGCAGGGCAACGAATCTCGAGGAGGACGAGGACGCGGAGGCGAGAAGTGAAAGTGATGATGCCAGCGAGAGCGGTCGGAGCGCGGACAGCGTCGGCTCATTTGCTGGATATGGAGGCAATGCGGGAGGGGCCGGTATGGCTGGCACACGAATGTAGTGGACAAAGCTAGGGTCATTAGCGAATTGATGTATTCGATGGATCACGAGGTATGTAGTGCGGGTGCGATGACGCCAAGGTATTCTCGCAGCGTGCGGATGTACGCGTCATCGCCCTCGTCGACGGGCCCGTCGGGGGACCAGATGACGATGTGTTCTCCGCAGCTCGCACCGATCTGCAGCTGCTTGGCAATTTGCTGCTCGTTGCCGGGCTCCGTGGCGAGGCCATTGCCGGTGCTGGCCAATGTAGCGGCATCAAGGGATCCCTCCAAGTCTAGTACTGGCTCGTGATTCGCGGCGTCGTCTTGTATGGCCGCATCCCAAGTGAGATCCTTTTCTTCATCCTCCTGTGCCTCGTCGTCATCAGAGTCGTCCATTGAAAAGCTCTTCATTGTGGTGAATTTGGCTCTTGCAGCTGTGCTCGTGCTGCTCGTTGCCGCCATCTTTCTCGGAGAGCGTCGGAGAGCGGACTCTGCGAACGGAGTTTCTTGCTGGTGCGCTTCCGTGCGTCGACGCTTTGATTCGTGTTGAGACGAGCTCGTGGCCTTTGGCGTGCTGGCGCCGAAGCTGGTCGCCTGAGCTGCAAGGAGCTCTACCTCGGTGGGGACTTCTACCACATGCGCTTTGTATCCAGCAGGCACAGTTATGGGCGTGCCGTGGATCGTTCTTCCTCTAAACGCCGACACCAAAGCCGCTGAGAGCTTAGAGTGCTCCAACTCAGAAGGTGACTCGGTGTCTGAGGCTGAACGTACGACCATGTAGCGGGAAACGGGTGCGGGACCATCGTAGTCAATCGAGAATGGCATCAGATTGGCGCGCACGACAGAAGAGTCGTCTTGAGACTCAGCGTAAGCACTGAGCTCCACGGGGCGGGGAAGGGCCTGCATGATTTGGATTGTCGAAGCTAAGCTTGACGGGGAGGTGCTTGACTGATCGAGTTGAGCGCTTAGCAGCGCTTCTGAGCGGCTAATGTCGATCGCAGCCGAACGATCGCCTATCCTGCTTGCCGTTCAGCCGCAATCGCCACCTCGATCCGCCTCAGTGCACACAGTGCGCGTTGTGAGACGCGATTCACCCGGCTTTGCTCGTCAAAGCCTTGCGATTGAGCAGTACT